TTTTCCTGTTGTTGAAATATTGTTTGTTGTGCATATTTTCACTATAATCATTCACCGACTTTTAGCTGGGTCATTATTGCATTCTATTCTATATTATATGCCAGTACAAGAACAAGAGAGGCTGCACTCTGCTCTTGAGTTATTGGGTCAATAACCACACAGAGACCTTTGTGCACATTTACCCCACTTTGGATATAAAGTAAATCTAGACCTAACTCTTTCATCTATTTCTCCTAACTTATAATGCTGAAACAGACATTACTATTAGTCTTCTCATTCTTTCCAACATGATTTCTGATTTGATTTGACATTTCCTTCAGCACCTAGGACAATTCCTAAGCAGGCACTAAGGTTCCATCAGTTCACTGAGTTGAAGAACTTTTATGATAGAATTTATGGAAAGATCTCTAAATTAGTTAAGGAATGTTACTCAGTTTTCTGTCATATGTTTTCCTTTAGTTCTAAAAGGCTGATGATCTTTTGCTATGGTAGTTGTTGTGGGGTAAGCAAAAACGTGAAAATTATATTTGGGGAAATCTATTCAACCAATTTTTGAGAATGAACTTTTTCAACAGATACACTAGATTAATTGTTATCTCCTCTTTTTGAGAAATGTTACCACTTATAGGCAAATAAACTAAACACAATAAAGTGTAAGGACAGAGAAGAATAGTGAGTTTGTTCAGACCATAGCATTGTCCAAACCTGCCAGTGGGATACTTTTTTTTGCAGCCTTAGACAGAAGATAAACTGTTAAACAAATATTGTCTATGTATTCTGATTCTCAAATAAATAAATAAAAGTGGATAATAAAATCGCTGGGTGTCATAACTTTGACAAATTTATTGGCTGGATAAAAAGTCTACCATAAAACATGAAAATTAAGGAGTGATTTCTTATGTATGAGAAAGGGCAAACAAAAACAAGAAAACCTTATCATCTGTCCCAAACTTCTAGGAACCTAAGGATGAAATAGAAAAGAGAGATGAAACATTTGACTAAAATTAACCATTAAAAAAGTTTGCATGCTTTCTATTTGAAAAACAGCAAAATCTCATTTTGTGAATTTTAAAATTTCGTTATTGAAGTTTTATCATTTCCAAACTATTTTCCATAGTGCCATAAGATTAGAAAGCACATTCTTGCTAGAGACCATGTTCCCCACATCAGTCATTAATTGTCAGTAGCTTTTTCCATTTGCTATTCTTTCTGTTTCAGCATCAGTAATCCAGTAATTTTTTATATTAAACAATATGTCTTTTGATCTGTTACCAACCCCGAGAGGAACTAAGTGAGACTGCCCTACGTTGGACATGCTTATTACTTAGATGGTTTGAGCTTGTAAATTTAAGGCTTCAAGACGAACATCCTGCAATAGAAGGAAAAAGCCGGTATAGCCTAGTGATAGGGGACAGACCAGATGCTTAGGGCTTGCTAGAAGTTTAAGTGTCAAAATATTTAAGCATTAAAAAAGTCTTTCATGTAAGGAACTTCAAAACCTGTCAAAACTGCACTGCTAATGGCTCTATAATAAAACATGTCCCTGAGCACAAAAGTGGAGGCAAGAAAGAGTTAAAGGTTTTACATCTGCAAGGAAGGATATTTCTATTGGGACACAAGTAGCATAAGATGGTGTGAGGGGGAAGAAAAAAAAAAGAGAGAGAGAGAAATGTGTTACAGTAGATGGGGTAGAGAGAGGTGATGGGAGGGGAAGTAGGAAGGGCAGCAAAATACAATAGACTCTAGTATGGCAGTATGCATAAACGTGGCTGTATAACCAATGTGATCCTGCAATCTGTACATGTGGAAAAATAAGAATTCATACCCCATTTGAATCAAATGTATGATATGTCAAGATCACTGTAATGTTTTGAGCAACTAATAAAAAAAACCACCTATCACATGGTATACAATTGGTTAAACAGAACTTGCCTCTTGTTGCAGACTGTTTCTGCCCACCCTCGATTTATAGTTCAGATTTTAAACTTAGTGTGATGGTATTAGGAGGTAGGGTCTGTGGGAGGTAAGGAGGTGAAGGGAGGGAAGACTTTATGCATGCAATCAGTGATTAACAAAGGGGCCCCCGAGAGCTCACCAGTCTCCCTTCCACATGTGAGAATTCAAGGCAAGAATTCATCTGTGTGTAACACAGAAGAGGTCCCTCACCAGTTCCAAGCCATTCTGGCATCCTGATCTTCAGATTATGAAGAGTAATTTCTGTTGTTTATATGTCATCTAATCTATGGTACTTTACTATAGCAACCTAAAATGCATAATGCCCCTGACTTGAATATTTCAAACCTCTAAATCTTAATTTAACATTATGTGGGTTATATCCTATTACCTAGGAATCTATAGCTTCATCTTGAGAATGGGCAAAGTTATTCACACCTGCAATGAACATTTATCTTAAACCTACTTTATGTCAATTACCATACAGAATTTTTTTTTTTAAAAAGATTCATGTTTCTGTTTTTTGACCAGATATATTGCAAATATGCCATCACTACCAGTTTGGCATATTGTAGTACAGGTATTTAAACAACTTTTCCAAATCTCAAGAGTTTTTAGGTAGCTAAGTACCCAGGTAAATGAACATTATTTAGAAATCTTACAGGATTGCAAATAAATGAATATCTGAAGTGAAGAATAATGAGAAAAGCATGGAAACTAGCCAGAGATCTGAAGCTGGAGAACTGAAAGATCAAACTACTCTTCTCTAAAGGAAGATAGGAAAAAAAACATAGAGTTGAAAGGTTAAATGAAAACAGAAAAAAAAATCATTTTTTCCAAATGGCAAAAAATAAAGAAAAGCAAGTGTACTATAAATTATTTTCCCTGATGCTAATAAAATATCTAATGTATGTTCATCACATAAAGAAATGTGTAAAGACATGTTCAGGAAAGCTAGTTTATAATTAGTTCATAGATGCTCAGTTTGGGGGAATATGTCAGATCTACCCAAAGTGCTATTCTGGAGAGAGAAAACCACACTTCCCACTTCATCCCCACTGGAGGAAAGGAAGGAACAAGATCTTGAGGGGAGGTATAGTTTTAATATTGCTAAATCTGTGATAATTCTGTTTTAATCCTTGGTGTTGAGACCCACGTGATCAGTTGGTGATTCACTGAGCCTCTGCAGAGGACAGACCACATTTATGGAGAAAAAAAAAAAAGTCACCTCTAAAGACACTCCTATTCCTACAGCGGGAGATTTCTAATTGGATAGAGCTCCCATTCTCATATCAGACTTACTTGGAAGTGCTGTCTTCCTCAAAGTCCACTGAGCCCCAGGAGTGAGTGTGTGTGTGTGTGTGTGTGGGGGGGGTCCACAAAGAAGAGGAGGTTAATTCAGGATTTTTCACTTTCACAAAGGAAAGTGAAACTTTCATTCTAACTTCACTCTAGCTTGGGAGCCAGTAATCTTAAAGAGGTCTTCATATATCTCACAAGAAAACTTTCTAATTCCTGCCTAAATTTCTTTCTACTGGCGAAAGACAGTAAAATCATTAAAGCCGAGAGTGAGATCTGAGAAGGGGCTTCTTGGTTTGGTAGAGCTGTCTGTATTTCAGTGTCCAGGTCAGGGGACCAATGAGATGTGAGAGAGCCACTGTAATGTTGTTTCTCAAGTCCTATTTGCCAAACACTGCCACAGAAGAGACCAGTCGCTGGGGGCCTGTGAGGGAGGGGTAGGTGAGTAGCATTTCCATATCATCAGTATGTTTCAGACCTGTAAGAGAATGGCCAGAGAAGAGGGAGCACTAGGAATGGCCACTGGTTCTTAAGAACCCCTGTTGGAGTTTTACCCCTGCAGGTAAAGCCTTCCTGCTTTCTCAATGCCAAAGGACAGAAGTGGCAAGAAAGAAAGCAAAGAAGCCCTGACATCTCTGCACTGACAGAGGCAAAGGACTCCTTGTGGCCTCTCAGGCATTGGAGAGGAGGCCTGGGAAACTTGGAATCCCTGACTCCTTACTGGCTGCTCAGTTATACCTCAGTTTAACAGCTCCCCACCCTTCCCAAGTCATCCCAGAAAAATGCCCCAACTACTCTTAACCCAGAGCCTGCATTATGGGGCACCTGACTAATGACCAAGTGTTCACAAGTGCCCATTTCTTACCCTCTGCTTTGTGCTGACCAAACTTAAATCAGGCAGCTTCTCCACACAGGCCCTTGAAATTTAGCCCCGGACTCCCAATCTGAGCAAGCACTAAAATGGGGAACAGTTGCCCTTGTCACTTGCTCCCCCAAATTCCTGGAACACGGATACGTTTCTTGTTAAATCATGCCCTGGCCAATGAATTTATTCCCCTTATGTGCCCCACTTTCTCCTGTGGCTACTCCCCTTACCTAATAGGAAACAACAAATCAAAAACTCTCATTTTCAGTTTGGTTTTGGGAGGCTTGTGGATTTTTCACTTTGATAATAGTTGTTCTAATTAAAGTCTTTCCCTATCTTATATAAGTCTGCATTTGTTTTTACTTGATATTGGTGTGCAGCTAAGAATGATCCCAAGTGAGTCTGAGCCTCCAAAGGTAAGGAATGAAAACTTGGGGCCCCTTGCATTTATCTTTTTTGGGGAAAGGTAAAGAGGTCTGCGATGAATAGCTCTCTCTTAAACTTCAACTTTCTAAAGCGAAATGAATTTCGAAATGAAGTTTGAAGCCTGAGCTCTAGGAGCCTCTGGCTGGGCAAGAGAATTGCTGGTTGGAAAACACCATTGTGCTCACTGCTGGGGCGGAGGGTGTGCTCAGAACAGTGTGGGGTGGAGACAGAGGAATGAGGGGTGGGATGGGCGGGGAAAGAAGTGGGAGGTACACCAGGAATCAGTAGAAACCGCGCTTCTGTGGGCGAACACCGGTGGGGGGTAGGGAGGAGGGTGGTCTTAGCCTCTGCACCCTGAGGTCACCAGCGGCGGCTGCTGTGGCTAGAGCAGCAAACAGCAACAGCGAGCGGGATGGAGTTAGGACCGCTCGGAGCGCCCAGGTCTCGAGGTAGTATAAGGTTTGCAATCCTTCCACTTGCTGGCAGTTGCAGAAGATCTCCTTTTTAAGTGAAACGTACATGCCACCCCTCCGAGGGCTGCGGCTTCCCTGGGCTGCTTCTTTGCTTCTCCCTTTTCCGGCCCTCGCGCTCACTCTTTAATTTGTCCGCGCCCCTAAGTTTGCCAAGAGCTCGCTTTCGGCTGGGAGAAGGGTCCCGGCCAGGCGCCGCGGGCGGGGGCTGGGGACCTGGGAACCGCAATCCAGAAGCATCGTGGGCCATGTATATTTCATCAAACGGACTTTGGGTGCGTCGCGTCTCGCAGCCATCAACGCTATGTGCAGTGACATTTCTGACTTGAGTGGAGGAATGCGCGAAGGAAGCCCGGGCGAAATTGGTACTAGAGGATCTTCTTGGCGCCAATGCTAATTGTCCTGATTTATGTCCCTTCTGACTAAGCTCAACATCTTCATCTGAAATAAAATGAAAGCGGTGCCAAGCGGGATAGAACCGCCTGGCCGCTGGTTCTGATCCCTGGGAATTAGGAAATCGTCCTGCAGCTTAAAAAAAAAAAGAAAGAAATAGAAATAGAAAAAAGAAAAAAAAATCCCTCAGTAAAAGTTTAAGGCGAGAAGTGGCAGAGGCAGCGGCGCGAGGAGGCGCGGAGAGCCGGCGAGCGGAGAACTGGGCTGGCAAGACCTCCGAAGGCTGCGATTTCATTATTAATATCACTATATTTTTGGAGGGAGAGGCACCTTTCTCATCCTCTCTTCCTCTCCGCCCACCCCTTCTCCCTCCCCCTCATCTACCTGTCAAAGTCACTGATCTTTTGCATTTCGGAAGAGGACGTCAACGGGAAGGAATTCCCCCTCTTGGTGCGGGCTCCAAGAGGGGGAGACGCGCTGGAGGCTCCCCACCGGGGCGCGAGGCGAAGGTAATTAAGCGGCCGGGAGTGGCGTACCGGCGTGGGTTCTGGGTCCGCAGAGTCCTCTCCCGCAGTCTGCCGGGCGC